ACTCTCTGGGTTCTTCCAGGCGCTCATGGCCAGGACAACTTCCATATGCAGCTTTCAAGACTGGGAATCGCTCGACCAATCATATTCCAGATCGCATTCCCCCCGCAGCCCGTCCCGCGCTCCCATTGGCTGGCGAGGGGAAACGTCACGAAGGGGGGGAAGAGAGCCCGATGGCGTCGTCATGGAAACGGATGACGTCACGGAGCGAGGAATCGATTCCCGGGTGAGAGTGACCGGTTCGAGGATTAAAAACATGGATTTTTATCGTACTTTCGCATTTTATATTCATTAGCATTTGCCGTTAATTGAAGATCGATTACGCGTCTTACGGACATGGACCTAATGATTATTCACACGGACGTGCTGACGAAAGGAATATTTCGAAATTAATTCAGAAACAAGTAACCCCATAGCTCTCTTACCTCCCTCCTCACCCCCATCCCCTAAGAGGCTCGGGGTTGCCACTAAAATTGACATTCATTCGTATAAACACAGAATTGCTCGGCGAGAGACGTGTGTTTTCGGCCGAAATCATTGCATTCTCACGCCGACATCAACAACAAAAAATCTGACCATTCAGTAACAAGCCAAAAGACATAAAGTACAGATTAACCTGCCTACAAAAGCATAACGCAGGAAATGGAATAGAAAATAGAAAAGAGAGCGAAAGCATAGAGTACGGATTAATTGCTTTAGTTCCCCGTCGAATGTATGGATCGATAGGACTAAAATTCCACAGAAAACGGAGCCATCTCCCCGAACTCTACGGGAAGTAAAACGACAGTTCCATGCACTAGAGGCGATGATAGCTCAGTCATACACTTGTGAATGGCCAAAATCATTCATGAGGCGTGAAAAGATGGATTCCAGCCACTCGTGGTACCTGCTCTCGTGTTTGCCGGCTGATTCAATTAAAGGCTTCGTTTTTTGTTGGTCATTGTAGTTTGGGTGTGCATGTAAAACACACACACGCCCAAACGGACACACATACGTACAGGCGCACACACATAGGCACAAACATAAACCTAATAAAAATATTCATATATATAATGTATACATACATATATACATATATACATTTATGTATGTATGCGTATATATATACATATTACATGGTTATACATGCATATATATATATATTCATATATGTATGTATGTATAATATATATCTATATATATATATATATATATATATATATATATTATGTACGTATGTATATGTATATACATACATATATATAATATATATATATATATATATATATATATATATATATGTATATATTGTATATATAATATATATATATATATATATATATATATATATATATATATATATATTATATATATATATATATATAATATATACACATATGTATAATAATACTGTGTGTGTGTGTGTGTGTGTGTGTGTGTGTGTGGATGTTGTGTGTGTGTGAGTGTGTATACAAATATATAGATAATATATACATACATACATATATATATATATATATATATATATATATATAATTATAGATAGATAGATAGATAGATAGATACACACACACACACACACACACACACACACACAACGCATATATATATATGTATATACATATATATATATATATTATAATATATATAATATACATATATGTGTGTATATATATATATATATATATATATATATATATATATATATATATATATATATATATATATATATATATATATATATATATATTATATATATATATATTTGCATCTGTTGGTGTGTGTGTGTGCGTGTGTGCATCCACACTCATGTGCGTAGCCAACTCACCTGTGTGTCGTTACGATCCAAGCCTGCAGTTTATGAAGAGGGGAGGGGGGGGGCAAGAAGGAGAGAGGGGGGAGGCAAGAGGGGGATAGGGGAGGGAGGGCAGAGGGGAGGAGGGGGAGGGGAGGGAGGGGAGGCAAGAGGAGGGGGGGGAGGGTTAGTTAAAGATTTGAGGAAGAAACTGAGGCTGAATTTCATAATAATGTTGCCGTCTTGAAGGGATATCATTTTTCATTTGCTCTAATCTATATTATTAGTTTTTTCTTTTGTATTCTTTATTCTCTTTTTCGTCTGATTTATCAGTCATTTGAAATGATGTTTTCGTTATTACACTTTATCGTCAACATCATTTTGAATTTAATTATTGCTTTTTATTTTCATTAACATTACTGTTACCATCATGTCATTTTCATCATTATCATTTTCATCATTATTATCCTTTTCCTTATCGTTGCTCTTATCATTATTGTTGTTGTCGTTGTTATGATCATTACCATCATTATCATTATAATTATTATAGTTATTATCATTATCATTGTTATTTCTATCCTTATTATCATTATCAATATGATTATCATTATTATTATTATTATCATATCATTATTATTTTATTATTATTATTATTATTATTATCATCATTATCATTATTAATCATTATTATTGTTATATATTATCATTGTTATTATGTGATGTTTATTA